CATTGTGTAAAGGGTTTGGATTAAACTCAAGAGAAATGGCTGCGAACAATAGTGCCTGGGTTTGGTTTGTAACATGAAAAGGATGACTCCAGATTTTTCTGGCTTTTAGGTCAAATGTCATGTTTGCTGTGATTTATTTATTTATTCCCCCTCTTTAGAAACCTGTTCAGTTACATTCCTCAACGTTTTAAAACCAAGCATTTGAAATCAATAGGACCTTAGCTGAGATAAGCTGCCTTTTCACTCAAAAATTAAGTGAAGCGTAAGAAAACAAGTTAATGGAAGCAATGAGCAGGTCTCCAGTTGGCATATTTCATGATGGAATCCCTTACATTACAAAACAAATCTATTACTTATATATTCCTTCTTCCTACATGCATAGATTTAGCAAGTTTTGTTTTTATGTTTAAACTCAGTCATTAAAGACAGTGTAAATAGCTTACCATAAACCCCCAAATTACTGTGCCAAATAGTGAGTGAGCAGGCGCAGGCAGTAGCAATGTTTGTATACACTCAACCTAGACTCCAACTTCTATAAAGAAGAAGAAAAAAAACAAAATAGCACACCTCTATGTAAACTTATAGCCCTTAAAAGCATCTTTGCAGACCATTCTTTTCCTATTATGCAAGTTGCGTTCACGTGGACAGATGAGCAGGTAACACATGTATGAGCTCATGACATTGTGCTACATTCTTTGAATCACAGACGCATCACAGTACAGCCACAAGCCAGTTGATGAAATGAATAGCTGTGAGGAGGTGAGCTACAAGAACGCCCAGTAAGCATTATCGTCTTCTTTCAAGGCCTCCTTTGTAACCTTCCAATTTACGGTCCAACCAGCCTCCCATTTCACAGCTGAAACAGCCAAAGCGCACACAAAGTTTTTGCTGTGACATTTACTTACAGTTCCCAGTATGGGTGCTCCGTGAGTGTGTACTCATGGTGCATGTGGGGAACATAAGGAGGACTGTATTATGTAACAACTACCCCCACCAAAAGGGAATTTTTACAATGTGGGCAGAACACATAGTTCTTATAACAAGAATGTCCACAAGCTATATCCTGACTTTCTTCTTTGTAAGGCACTCGAAATCCCTAACAGCAAAATTTGACAGAAACTGGAGCTCACAGTGAAGATTTTTTTTTTTTGTACAAAAGCTCCATTAAACTTATTTCCACTTCTGTCATTTTGTCCTAGTAGAACAACACTGTATGAAAGTGCTCCAAGTAATCCTCATTTATCTTTTACTGGGCATTGGTGAAGCCCCTCAGTTTACCCACTATCCAAAACAAGCAATTTTAGCACCTCTCATTTTAAGAACACATTACCCAAAAGCCAAATTCTTTCTGATTGGGCGCTTCTTGAAAACAGAAGGTACGAGCATCAGGTGGGTGAGATTGCAAGTTGCATTTGCTAAACGTCAGTAAATCCTCACTTTTTAACTTCGTAAAGTTAAAGCCTGAATCTGAGCATTCAGAGCAGTCTGAAGCCTGACAGTCTGTCTCTTTCAGCTTATATAGAGTGAAAAGAAAATTATCACATCTTATATTTGTTGAACTACTGCTCATTGTGAGCCGTCTATTAGGTTTTCTTCCTAGCAAAATATTTGCACTGCAAAACACAGCCTCACCCTCAGAGTTGCTCAAGGACTGGAGCTGTGAATTGGGATTCACTAGAAGCAGAAGGTAACTTAAAACCCACACAGTCCTCACTCTACAGGTGATTTAGGAAAGTAAACGGGTTGGTCTTGCATGTGTTCTCCTTCTGGGTTAGCACCAACGCAAATGAACAAACACGTCTTTTGGCATCACAAGCAGATGCTAATAACACACCACAGCACCCTAAAGCAATTTTAACTGCACTAATATAATGACATATAAAAAGTCCAAGTTAACAGCACAATTAAAAAAAAAAAAAAAAAAATCATATAAAAATCATAAAAGGCAGTAGAGTAAAATTCAACACCATCGGCACACAACCCAATTTAAATAACACATGTTCGAAAACTTTGTATGTTTTGCTGATTTTGTTAACAACTGGATGATTAACAATATCTACACTCTAATGGAATATAATAGAAACCCCCCAACTGATCACTTGGTTTCAGAGGTATCTCTTGAGTACTAATCAGGTTATATAATAATAATAATCTTTCTATGCCATCCTTCAGAAGGACAGAATGAGATGGTGACAATATATGCAGTAAAGGGCGTTGAGTACACACCCCAAAAATTAAATAAAGAAAACCTTTTGTGGATCTCGGGTAATTTTCCAGAATATACAACTAAGAGAAAGATGCCAATTGTCTAACAGAAAGTCAAACAAGTTCTAACAGTTTTTAAACCTGGAAAAATTGCTGAACCACCAGACTCAGACAACATCTCTGCGCTAAAGTTAGCATCTAAATAGGAAGAAAATACATATCTGCTAAGCTATCATTACAGATAATCAACCTGGAAATATGCAGTTTCATGCAAACGGTGTCAAGAGCACATGCACACACACACGCTCCCCTCCCCTCAATGCTGATGTCAACAGTCTGAGCTAGCTTATTGTGGGCACAGTAAGATCCCTGTTGCTGACCACACGTGAAGGGGCAGCATGACACATGCAGAACACTTTCTGCTGTGCTTCTCTGAGCACTGCAGCATAGAGATGTACTGGAAAGCAGCTTTAAAATACCCCATAAAAACGGACAACAATTCAACCACACACGCACACACAAATAAAATAAAAGCATAGATTTTGATCCATAAAAGAACAACAAAAACAACATCAGGCTTGGTGATGTGAAGCAGGACAAGCAGAGTTATTAAAAGCATCAGGTCAATGATCATGACACAGCTACCCATAGACACTTGTTACCAGCAATCTAATACAAAGCCCCCTTTTCAAAGCCTAAAAAAAAAAATCACAGCTGCCTTGGAGACCATTGGATTACTGCAAGGATCACATTCCCCATTTCTCTGCTCCTACCAAGACGTGTGAGAGTTGGCACAGAGGAGTGAAAAGCTGCACGTTAAAAAGGGTTTGCATTACTAATGAAGTTTGTACGTGTAGCAGCATTGTCATTAGTTTGTGGGAAAGTGGAAAAAGGGCCCATTAATATAGGCAAGCAGACACTTGACTTGCAAGGGCCTTACTGGAATATTTAGCTTTCTTGCTACATAATATGTTGGGTCTTTACAAAAGAATATAAAGTGTGCTTAAAATGACTAAATTAGGAATTTATAAATAACAATTCATAATCAAATCAAATCTTATTTGTGTAATAGCTATGAAGTACCAGGTTTGCAATCCAAGAATAACAGCGCTTGTTTGCTTGCGCCAATATGCAACTCTTTTTCAAAGTATGTAACCCTATGAAGGAGCTACAGTACACTAAGTGCTGGAGTGCAAGTTTTACTTATTCATGAAGACATTATATAAGACGAATGCCTGGTATGATCCATAAAACATGACTACTAAAATTCAATGCTTTAAGGAAATAAGGACAAACATGCTTCCTTTAACACTATAGTCAATAGTGTGAATCAAATAACCATTACAGGAAAGTAACCAGAACCATTGCTGGATCTTGGAACACAAATATTAGGTGATTATTTCCTGGAAACGTACTACACACTTTAAGTAACGTGAAATTTTCTTGTACAGCTTGGGGGTTTTAAATTTCCTTCTCTACCCGAAGGGAGGCCTACGCCACACACCATGTCTCTCGGCTGTCTTGGGAACACCTCAGTATCCCCCAGGAAAAGTTAAAAGCTGTGCTATACCCACAACCTGAGCACTGATAAGCCAAAGAAAACGGATGGATGGATTTACACGTAGATCAAATGTGTCTTTATTTATTTATTTTTTAGGTTTTTTTAGTCTCCTAAAGAGCAAACTAATCTACATTCTCCTCCTATGTCTCAAATAAAGTGAGACTGACATATTTATCACAAAGAAATTACCAGAAGGGCAGAGAAAGCTGGACAGCTACCTGCTTCTGAGTCACCAATCTGGATAAAGGTGGCACTTTAGCCAGACTGCTAATCCCATTCCACAAACCCTGCGTACTGTTACCTGCTGCATGCCTCCGAGATTAAACAAATTCATTAGTTGTATTAATCTACCAGACCTCTGTCATTTTTAGGAGGGGAACTTATTTACCAGAATGTAAAAACAGATCTCCAATATGTCTCTGTTAAATCTATGTTAAGTATGTAGAAGTTCGGTGATTTTACAATGATTTTACAATAAGGTAGCTCTTGCGAGTATGGGATTTATTGTTTTATTTTTCTCTGTACAATATACAAAGAGACATCGACGTTTTATAATTGTAGTAACTTAAAAATCATTGGACAAACAATGGTAGCATTTCCTTGATTTAGCTGCTTTTTTGTTTCATATGACAACAACATACATGTCATCTAGAGTTTTTATGAGCTGGTCAGACTGACTGGTCGATTTCAGGATAGCAGTTGATGCCTTTATGGATTTGGCATTGGAAAATAAACCGTCATGAAATATAGTTTAAATCAAGGGGAGATAGACTGATTTTTTTTAGCATTAAAAAGTTTAGAGATAAAGAGTTTAGTTGGTCGCCTCCAGCTTGCCTTGGTGGTCACTGATGTTACCTGACAAGTAGCCCGACTTCATTGGTTTTTAGGTTAGCTAGCTATGCCGCTAGTCAACAGCTGGCTACCAAACCTTCTGACATAATTTAAGTCATTTAATAAATAAAGCTTATCAGTAAGTTGGGTACAAACAAAACGATTTCAGAGCTGTTCTTTGGATAAGAAAGTCCAGAAAACGCCACAGATTGTAACACGTTGTTAATGTTAGCTGTGTAGCAGTGGCATTGATGACTGACGGATATTATGCGGCAGAAGACACCAAGCAAAGCTACGTGGGGACGAGCATCACAAAGCCTGCTCCACCTATTGTTAGGACTGTGTTTTGCCTGACATGTTGATTATAGTGAGGATGTAGAATTAGATGTCGATGAAAGCTTACCAGCACAGGCGAGCTACAATGAGGCACACCAACAAAACGCGCAGTCTCTTCATTATCTTCCCGCGGGGACCAACATCCTCGCTCCTTGGGGTTTTTCTTCTAATGGATGACGGCTACACAACACACCGAAGAGAATCTTTAAGTACCTGTGTTAATTTAAACATGAAAAACAGCAAAACCCACACTTGAGGGGGTGCTATTTTTCATTATGCGGACCAGCTGTCCGCCTCTTTTTAGGCTCCTGTGGCCACTGCTGTTGACGAGTAGCTGGATCTCGCTATGTTCAACCCCCGCTAAAAAATCTAACCAATTAAATAAGCGTTGAGAAATCGTAGCCCAATGAAAAGGCGTGTAGCGACACTAGTTTAATTTGAAAGCCCCACCCCTTTCGATTGAGGATGAGTTGGTAGCTGTGGAGCAGGACGCGTCACCTATTTCTCGATAAGCAAATCACTTAAGCATGCAATAGTTAAAGTTATTGCTCAACTGTGAAATGTGTCGAAGTGAATATATAGTCCTGACACTTTTTTTAAATTGTAAATTAGCTTACATTCATTTAAATATGAGGTGTATGAATGAGGGTGAGTGAAAAAAATTGTACACTGTGTACTTCCTTCTTCACCACTGGAAAACACCTTCAAGTTGTTAAACCCATAAATATTTTTTAAATCCTGGAAAATGGTTATCGGTGTTTAATGAGAAATTGGCTAATTTTTTTTTTCTGCCGACATAATTTTTTATATTTATTATATATCATATAATGGGACATTATATTAACTGTAATCTTATCAGTTTCTATTGTATTTTTAGACTATAAAGAAACCAGAGAACAAAAATATCTGGTTCGCTAAAAACACATTTTACACTTTTACATGCTATTAGTCACGTTTCTACTTTAGATTTTGTTTAAACTCTGCTTTTAACAAGTTAACACGTCGTCACTTACACGTTTGTGGAAAACAAAAAGATCAAAACAAATACAAGTCTTGGTTTATTTCATTTATCACATAAAACACATTTAAAGTAGGATGGTTTTCTACGTACGCTCATACCGCATGGAACAATAGGACTACAAATCCCAAAGTGCAATTCCATTGAGGCCCTGAATAATTTGCCTGACTTTTTTTTAATTGTGTGTGGTTTATTTCACGTACGTAGTACATACAAAAAAGTACATACACCAGATACTTGGATCAACAGTGAAATAAAAAAAAATTTTTTTTAGCAAATTATAAAACACATTTTTAAATTTTTATTTCGGCGGGGTCCTAAGCTGTCCCCAATCTTCAGAACATTTCAACTAGAAGTCAACTTCGGACGAAGGTAGCTAACAGCCGCTGACTGACCAGCACTGTGGCCGGCCTCTGTAATCACATTTCTGGGTCTTTGGGGCTTTTAGGGTCATGGCTTTGACCATGAAGATGGTCCGGGTATTTTTGTGTGTCCTGTCCGTGTTTGTCTCACTGGTCTCGGAGAGGTTAGTGGTGCTGGCTGCCTTCTCTCAGTCTCTTGACAGCGACTTCACGTTCACTCTGCCCGCCGGTCGAAAGGAGTGCTTCTTCCAGACCATGAAGAATGATGCCTCACTGGAGATTGAATATCAGGTCATAAAGCCTCATAAAATAGGGATGTTGTTTTGGGGTTTGTATGGGGTTAGCTGGTCAACCCAAAACTTCACACTGCTGTCTGCCAAATCAAATCAGCGTTGACATATTACACTTGTCAAACCTGTTGATTAGATCTTTAGTTGTGGTACTTATTCCAATAATGGAATATAATTTAGGCAATTTAGCCAGGTACACGTTTAAGGTATTTATACTTTCTATATCTAACTAATGTTCTACTTTTATTTCGAAGTGTTTTACTGGTAGCTATATGCTTTACAGCTTTTATTTGACTAATGATTATTTTATCAGTTAAGCTACCGAGCAGTAGAGATATAAAAATAATCATTTTACTGGGTGCCAGAAATTCTAAAGGTATTTCTCAGTATTATACTCGCAATGTTCAAAAAATAGTTGAATTTGAATTTTAAAAAGAGCTCAAATGGAGTCCACTTAAACCAGATACAGCAGTAAAACTTAACTGTTCCATTAAAATTTGGGTGATGCTTTTAAAACGTTAAGTATAATGTAATGATTTCGACAATAGCTATTTTTACTTGTAACGGAGTACATTTAAAGTGTTGCATTTGTACTTTTACTTCAGTACAGGATGCGAATACTTTCTTCAGTTACATCATTCAAACCACATGCAGCCTACACTTGTTTACTACTGTTTTAAATCCAGAGCAAAAGAAGCAACAAGTAAATTGGTTCACACCTTGATTTTCATATTGTTGGGAACCTGTTTTGCAGGTCAGTGTGTAGGTTATGCAGAGAATCGGAATCTATTCTTCCTGTGTGACGTCACAGGGTTTTAGTTTGTTATTTAGCTGCATAAATGTCAGACTCCTTACAAAAAACCAACATTCCTGACATTTCATGTGTTAGAACAAACATTAGTAAGCCACACCAAATGTGAATTTCTCAGGGGTTGAGGGCTGATATGAATGCTTCTTTGGCTTATTTTGTTTTTGTTCTTATTTATTACCCCTTTTTATATTGAGTAAGTTCAAATATCTTCATTATGCAAAATACCTGGACTGCTGAGAAAAAAAACCCTGCTGTTTTTCTCAGCCCCATTCACCTCTCATTTATTTCTATTCTCCACCATCCGCAGGTGTTAGATGGTGCAGGCCTTGATGTAGACTTCACTGTCTTCTCTCCTTCGGGCCAATTGCTATTCAGTGACTACCACAAGTCTGATGGTGTCCACACGTAAGTAGCTCCGATCTTGAATTTAAAAACTGACATTAATAACTCAGGTGTTTGGGGAAGATCTTACTGCTTGTGTTTTCTTCCAGCTTAGACACTGAGGAGGGAGACTACATGTTCTGCTTTGACAACACGTTCAGCTCAGTCTCTGAGAAGCTCATCTTCTTCGAGTTGATCCTGGACAACATGGATACAGATGAAGACCCAGATGACTGGAAGGAGTACGTCCACGGAACAGACATCCTGGACATGAAGCTGGAAGACATTATGGTGAGAGTTGGTCTTGTTTGAATAAATTTAACACATTCCAAACCTGTCGTTTTAATAGATTTGAATGTGTGAGCTTTAAACCTTAATAGCACTGATAGATGGTAGGTGGTTAAATTTGATTCATAGTGTGTTGGTTTTATTCCCACTTGCATTTTTAGACTTTGTCCCTCTGTTGCCTGAGATATTTCAGATGATCATCCAGGCACACAGGATGACACGGGGGGTGCAAAGTGACCGAACACACTGCCAACAAAATAGCACATAATCCATCACCAACATGCAAAGTTACACGAAGTGTGTCACAAGAAAGGACAATGTCATGAACTCTCACCTACTGGCTGAGGGTGGCCAATTGTTTCAGCTTGCACCACTCATTTGCTAGAAATAGCCTAAATTTGTGGCATAAGTCACATAGCCTTGTCATCTTGGTAAGAGGTAGGAAATTTGTCCCCCAGCTGTTGAGGAAGTAGTTTTTTTCAAGGAGGAAGGAACACCATTTCAGACTCTCACTCTGATTACCTGCTTTGTTTTTGTTTAACTTTGGTCAAGTAAAATTTACATAAAGAGTACAGTGGATCTATTAGCTTTCTTCTCAGATTCCCTCAGTATGACCTGCTTTTCTCCTCTCCTTCAGGACACCATCAACAATGTGAAGGCTCGGCTGGGTAAAAGTTCTCAGATCCAGACGCTTCTGCGAGCGTTCGAGGCTCGTGACCGAAACATCCAGGAGAGTAATTTTGAAAGGGTGAACTTTTGGTCAGTGGTCAATCTCATTGCTATGGTTCTGGTCTCGGGGGTTCAGGTCTACCTAGTCCGCTCGCTGTTTGAAGATAAACGGAAAATTCGAACATAACACAACCTGAAATGGAGTGAAACAGAGAGACTGACACAGTTGCCCACAAAAACCTTATGGATTTTTTCAGCTGATTTCCCCTTTTGTGACTTTTAATCATATATATATATATATATACACACACACACACACACACACACACACACACACACACAATGATAAAGAGCCAATTTACCACAGTTGTTGCTCTGGTCTTTTAGGCCGTTGCAGCTTGAAGGAAACCCCAGGTTTGGAAAAACTTATGACTCTCAACTTTACATACAACCTAGCTCTGTCTTTCTTGAAAAAACTTTCTTGTTTGATAGGTCCCCCCAACTGCTGTAGTTCATCAGTGAAAGAAGCACATTTACAGTGCAACTAGTTTTTCTAATGGAGCCAGGCCAAATGCAAAAATGTCTTCTTTTTTTCTTCTTTTTAAAAAAAAAAATTAATTTCAACATGGGTTAAGCTAAACTAGATGAAGGAAAGGTCTGGGGCCTGTTATTTCTGTCAGATAGGAGTGAGAGGTGCTGCCAATCTGTTAGTGTATCTTCCCCTTACAATAAGATGCCTTATTCATTTGGATTTCGCTCCCAGCCTTTTGCCTGTTGGTGAGGCCTTTGAATACTTTTCTTATTGCCACAAACATTTATGTTGTTACAATTCAGCCACATATTCCCCTTCATGCCAATACTGAAAATACAGGGCTGCACTGCAATGCTGCTCTTTGGCACCCAAAAGACTGCAAGAGAAGGAAACGGGCCATATCCAAATCTCTTTATAACTACTGCCCTACTCTCCTCTGCCGTGATTTGTGGACTTTTGGCCGCCGCTGTGAAGCCTGTCTGCTGCTGCTGGGTGTCTGCTTACAACCACCTACTGTGTGAAGATGTTGAGCCTGCCCGTCTCTCCTGTGACAGAAGTCTATTTCTATCTGAGTGACATCTGGAAGGTCATTGCCACTACTTCAATGTACTGGTTGGTTTAATATGCATAAACTATCCTTTGCCTTGTGTTTTTTTTTTTTCTTTTTCTTTTCAACATACTTTTCCAGGTCCTTGCACTGCCTCAGATCCCACAGAACCCCATTGTGGCAAACACAAATGGGTCCACAGTCTACACAGGTGGAATAACACCAGTTTGTTACCTGTTACTTGTATTGTATTAAACTGCTACTGCGGTTGTAGTTTTTATTGATGTTTATTCATCTCCACTGTGGAACCCTGGCTGCTCACTACCTTGGCTCGATGCTTCATGTTGCAGTCTTCTGATTTTTGCCTTGTGCTGTAAGGTGAAGATCATACAGTGAGTTTATGCCTTTGTGATTTACACTATCTTTTGCTAGAAGTGAATAAAACCAAACTGAGTAAACTAATTAGTTTACAGTTATAACATTTTGCCACACGGTATGTGCATATGTCAATCACAAATTCTTTGGATGCCTGTAATAATATTGGATGTCTGGTTGTGAGAAATGGTCATCATCTGCCTCAGTTTCAGTGCTTTTCCTTATTCTCATGTATGGTTGCTGTCACTGGTATTTACATACTGTATGTCTGGATTCTAATAAGTAATGTATTGGTAATAAAAATATTTTTTGATCTATTTTTAACATGCTTTCAGAATTCTACAAAAACAAAAGAACGTTTTTTTTTTAAAAAGTATTTCTATGTTACTGAGTAATAAAAGTTTGTGTCTACAGCTTCATTGTCTTTGAGAAATGTTTTCTGTCATAAAACAGCAGTGGGAGAAGAGGGAAAGTGGCATCATATTTATTTAGCTAAAATCCTGCAGTTGAAAATTTCTGCAGATTAAACAGCTTCACCTTTTTTCTGACCTCTGCATTCTGTTGTGTTATATTTCACCCCAAAGAGTTGTGATTCAAATGTAGATTAAAAACAAATTATCTTTGTCATCAATGCAAAGCCATTATATTCGATGCTCAAAGTGAGAAATTTAAATTTTTTTGGTTAACATATGCTAATGACAGTAACATCTTTCAAAAAAGGTGAGACAAGGGCAACATCTGGTGAAAGGTTCCCACAGCTAATTAGGTTTATTAGTAATAGGGATGGGCATTTTAAAAAAGAGCATCCCGTAGAGAAGTGTTTCAATAGGCTTAGGAATACTTTGAAAAACTACTACATGCAACCGTACAAGGTGTGCTGCCTCTCTTGGCCCAGGACATTTCAGCAAAAGAGATTTAAAAACGCAAGACTTCCTGGCTAAATGATAACTGAGCTGTTGTCAAATCATTCAAAATTTTATTTGATCTTTTTCTTGGTTGGTGTATTCTCCAGGCTAAAGAAGACCATCTGGCTTGATCTCACTGTACTGTTAAAAATACCAGCGTCTGTGACAGTATATAGGGGCGGTCATGCATACAGCAAGGCCAACTTGTGCATCTGCTAAACAGATTTTGGCACACAACAAACGCTGCCATCTAGATGATGTGTGTTTCAGAGAAGGCTTCCTTGGGTCAGTAAGACAATGCAAACCATGTTCTGGCTGTATTATAGTAGCTACATGGCAATCACCAAAGCAGTCACCAAAAAAAGAAAAATACAAATTTACAACAGTTTTGATAATTATGGAAGTTAAAATGCAACAAATTAACTTAATATTTATTTATATATATATAAAAAAAATAAAAATAAAAAATTTAAGATTCTCACTTGGAGCATATGATATGTTGTAAATATCATCTTTTTCCAAAGCACCCAAACCCTTTTTTTGAAACAGCGTTATGAATAGACCTTCTTTTACAATCATTTCGACATGTTTGTGCATACCCTAACAAGCCTGGTTTTACTGCATATGAGCGGGGCGTATAAACCAGTTATGCAGATGCCTGTAGAATACCTCGGGTATCTGTAAGGATAATTTACCCTGCCGTGAAGCTGCTTGGCTTCTAACATGTCCTTCATGGTGCGGTGGTGCAGAGATGTGATGATCAGACATTCTTGTAGTGTAGTAGCACAGGCCCTTCCAAAGTACAGTGGATGCAACACGGTAGGAAGAAGCAGAATGAAAACGTTACTGCGACTTACTTGCTTTAGTCAATCCACAAAATATCACGTTTCATGATACTTACGGGTAGAGAATGTAGAAACCATGTAGGGAATTAGGTGTTCTTTCCCAGGGTTTCTTTGTGTTGGCAGAATTTACCGTGGTGGTCGGTGTTTGTGGCTCCTTTGACCCCGAGCTGGAGCTGACATGACTGCTGGCTGCCTGAGCTGTTGTCAGGGAGACATGGGGCTGTGGTCTACACTTTGAGAAGCTGTTATTATCACGATACAGATGAGCGTATTGATTAATATCACAATCAACAAGACAAACAATTTTAAAATTGACATAAACTTTTGCTACTCTAAGAATATTTTCCTAGAACTTTAAAATGCCTGATTACCTTTTTGAAGCCACTTCGGTCTGTGGGTTTGGTCTTATAACTTCAGCACAGAATGGGCCACGTATGTTCAGCACAGGCAACTTGCAAAAGAAAAAAGGTACTGTCATAAAGTGGACGGACAGCGCCAATGTGCTTTTCAAACAAAGCATGGTTATTCAAAAACACCAAAGTTGACTTTTGAATCCTGACATATTAAAAAAATAAATAAAAATCAAGGGGCATACCCTTTCAGACTGGTGAACGCAGATGAAATTCATACACAGATCTAAAATTTTATTTTCAGCATAGGCGCGTGGCATGCTAACCACAGATTATTATATCAGATCGTAAGGTTCCCTGCAAAGATGCAGTCACATTCATGAAGAGAGCAAGAGAAAACTATATCCAAACCCAGATTTCATATACGAACATTTATCATACTGTATACAATAGGCAATTCTAATGATGTTAGTACCAGTACACATGGGAGTAGAGGGAAACATTTAGCATGCAGACTTCCATGATGCCAATCTGGTATAAACAATTTTGTTAAAGAACTGAGTCAGGATATGTGGGGAAAGGTGGAAGAGGAGTTCTTACTTCCCTGAAATAAGTAGAAAGAGAAATCCCAGGTTGTGGGATGAGCTAAATCTCCATATTCCTAGCTCACTCCCAAATATGTTCAGTGGGCTGGCTGTGAATGTAAAATATCCAAGTAATAATTAGAAACAACCACTGAAGCAAATACTCACTTCAGAGGTTGATTAAATACCTGAGAGCAGAGGTAAATAAACTGTATTTATTCTTTACACCTTGCTTGATTATAATATTTATTCTTTTTTTGTCTTCATTTAGGTGGAGCTATCATATTATTATTATTATTATTATTATTATTATTATTATTATTATTATTATTATTATTATTATGTCGTACAATATATATAATAAGAGGTCTTGGACTGTATTAATGACATGTAAAAATGTCAAGAAGAGTCTGACCAGCAGACAGTAGAGGGCAGCAGAACGCCAGTGTAGCTACGTCAGAGAGCGCCAGAAGAAGAAGAACAGGGGTCGCTGCAGCTAAAGCGCTTTACTTCCGGGATACCGTCAGGATGAGATTGTAGCATCAGCGCTGAATAAAACCACATTCCAGGTAGGTGGAAAACACCTAAGAAATATTTTTGTAGGTATTTCAGTTAACTTATCACATTATTGTTTTTACACTCGTGCGTACCGGAGATGCGCGGGCTTATTGTCCCTTTTTAAACCGGAAGAACCAGTAGTTTTATAATAGACAGACTCCGAGATTATATCCATTCACTTGACAGCAAAGAAAACGCTTCAAATGTTGTTCAGATCCAACATTTGTTTGGCTAACAGAGCTGTGGGTGAACTACCTAAAACAACATAATATTATATCAGCTTTAGAGCTTTTGAAGTCTTTTTATGAACCCAAAAAAGGACCCTGGTTGACCTGCTACTTTAAGCCTGGTCAGTAAGGCTTAATATGTTTAGTAAAATAATGATAAATTCCCCTAGCCACTTTGAGTCAAGTCATGCCACAAAACAGTAGTAACTTTAACCAAAGGGCTTTCCAGTCGTGCAATATTAAGAAACATAATGTGTTTATAATGGGACATTACTGGGTAAGCAGTGCAAAAGACTACCAGGAAACCACAAATAATGAAAACCACATAACAAAGATTGCAGGTATGACAGATCATTTAAGTAGTGGATGAAACACCCCTGCTGGTCTCAAACTCCCCACCGTCTGTGTTTTGTGTGTTGAAATCAGGGTGATGGGGCCAGATGGTGCCCCAGGTCCAGCTGTGCCATGGCGTAAGGTGCTGTGGGAACGCCAGCCTTTTCCAGATAACTACGTAGACCAGCGGTTCTTGGAGGAGTTACGCAGGAACGAGGGCATCCGGCAGTACCGCTACTGGGCTGTAGTGAAGGAAGCAGGATTTGTAGGACAGCAGCTGTCTTGTGTGGCCATTTTTATCACCCTCTGGCTCTACATGGAGCAGGTACTGCTTTGGGGTTTTTTCCCCCCCACAATCTTTGAAGGACAAAGTGTCTTTACCAAATGGAGCGGGTTATTAAAGACCTCTGCTTTCTTCACAGGGTCTGCTGCCACCTGAGACGTTGCTGTGGTCCAGCCTCATCTGTGCCCTACTGGGTTATGGACTTCATCAAGCCTTGACATCTCGCGTTGAATCGTGTGGTGAACCCCGCACTCATCTGGCTGATTTACAGAGTGCAGCCATTTTCCTTTCCTTCACCTTTGGCTTCTCGCCAGTTCTTAAGACACTAACAGAGTCTGTGAGTACAGACACTGTGTACGCCATGTCTGCTTTGATGCTGCTGGCCCATTTGGTGTCGTTTCCTTACGCACAGCCATCGCCTCCTGGAAGCCTCTCTTTAAATGCAGCTCTGTTTGCCTCGGTGTGCCTAGCCTCTAGGTTACCCGGAGCTCTGCACACTTTCGCCATGCTAAGCTGCGCCCTGCTGGTATTTGCTCTGTGGCCCTGCCTGCTGCAGACACTGAGGGAGAACGCCCCTGGCCATTTTACTGGGGTGTGCATGGGAGTTTGCATTGGAGGGATAGTAGGTCTGGGGTCTCAGACACTGGGTGGAGCTGTGCTCTTAACCCTGGCTTTAGCAAGTGTAACACTGCTCTGTCCTTTCCTGCTTGTCAGGCTGCAGAGGCACAAGGACAACATTCATGGACCCTGGGATGAGGCTGAGATTCGTGAGGACCTGAGCCGCTTCCTTCACTAATAAGCAGCCTAGCACAAGCAGCTCCTAAACAAGCTGATATTAAAAGTGTAACTGCATTTTATATGAACCAAAAACTGTTTTTTTTTTTTGTTTTGTTTTTTATCACTGGGTCATGTATGATTGGAAAACAATGACAAACTATTATTCTCTTGCAGGTAGTATGAGGATGGTTTTTAATGTTCAGGCTGCTACTGTTTTGTAATTTACCTCAGAGTTTGTGCGAAAGGTCTCAACTAATAATATGACTTGTTACAGGATGTTAATGGTTTGCAAATCTCTGTAAGAAAAAATGAAATCACATATGAAGGGCTGTAATTCCATTTTCCACAATTTATTTGTAAATATTAGAAGACTTTTAGGATTTCATTCTGTATTTTGGTAATGAGAGTATTTCTTCAGTGTTATTCAGTACAATACTACAAGAAGCTGTTTTATCTGCTTAAATATGGCCTGAAATATGAAATGTGTCATGAGCACTGAGGTAAGAAAATGTAGACGTTTTCTACAGTCAATGAAAAAGATGAGGGTCTTTCATGTCGCCTTCCGTTCAAATCCCAATCAGTGACGTCACATCCGATGAGCAACACCTGTTGACAAGGTGTTTTCGGTCGACAGAGAGGAACATGGCGGGAGTTTGCCTACCTAATTTAGTCTAACTTCCATTAAAAAAAACCCAAAAACAACTTTATGCTGATGACCTCCCAGTTTGCTCAGCACACAGTGTGAAACAGACCGGAGTTCCTCTGTTTATTTTTAATTTTTGGGCCGATTAAAGAACAACTACATGGCGACACATTGTCTCCTCTTGTTTTTTGCTTTAATTGCAACATATAAAAAACAAAAATTTGCTGTAGAAACTACACCTGACCTACTGCTATATGGTGTTTAGGAGCCTCTGTGTTAGCAGCTAATGACCAAATAAGTGAGCTATGACGGCATCAGCGGGCAATAGTGCAGCCGCCCTGGCAACAATGCGCGGTGGTCGCTAGGTGTCATACCTTCACTTCTTCTTTCTTCGTCCTGGTGCGACGTTTGACGGCGGGCTTTGCAGCTGGTTTTGACTGCAGTGTTGGCTCCATGGTCTGAACAGCAGAGCAGGTAAGATGTTCAGCCGAGCTGCTTGTAGCTGTGCGGCTTCCTTCGAAGAACCACAGTAGAGAGTGTGCCGTGGTAACAACGCGTCACAGGTTGAAATGTTTTTGTTTAGTTTTTTTTTTTTCCTTCGTCTTCCAGTCGGAGTTTATTTACACACCAGTAAGAACGCATACACTTTACATACACGCACACATATATAAACTGGTATTATGAACATTATCTTCAAATTGGATTTGAAAACCATAGCTTTAACTTTACAACTAAAATTATTTAACCACTTTACTGGAGACCACTGCAGCAGTTAGCTGATTTTAACACCTTGTAGGCCACTGACACCCCCGCCCCCAAAAAAAGAAGAAATAAATAAATATCAGCATAGGGTTCTGCTTACACTAATGCTGATCAAGTCAGCGATAGCTAGCTTCCAAATAATGAACATTTGCACATGCATTCAAAAATAAAATACCTGTTTATTCACGGAAAATAGAAACAGTGCATGTATATTCTTTTCAGTATAATAATTCAGATTGATATTTTTATCTACAAAAAGTTCAGGCACTTGAGAGAAGCCAGCAGACAGTTGTGCACATTCCATCGTTTGTGGCCGTTGATATTATGTACAAAACAGGCTCAGGATGGAGTGAGTTTTGCAGACAGCAGCTCCCAGAGGAGACAGAGAAAAGCCCATCATCGTGCTTCAGCTGTATTATACATCATGCAGGTCAGGAGTGTCTCCGGGTAGCAGCCAGCTGCAGCTGAAAGGACCATGAGGGCAGATGGGTAATGGAGTTCAGAGCAGAGGGGGCTTATTTCACACTTGGGATTGCTGGGGGAAGCCTCCTGAAGACAATATTAGATCAAAGACATTACTATATGGTTTATTATTATATTAGCAAAGTTTCTATAAAAGTTTCTCTACATTAGATCTTATAACATCTTTCAAAATTTGAAAGCCTTATGCATGATTTTGTGGGCATGGTATCTCTGATGGGACAGTGCTGTCTCTCACTGTAGCTTTCTTAATCATCCACATTTAAATTTCTAGTTAATCTGCAGAGAGGTACAGTCTGGGGCTAAGCAGTCAGGACTTTATAAGCTTTATACATTCAGCCTTCCTAAATAAATAAAGGAATACGATAATTCTGAACCCCGGATAAAGATGTTCATGAATTAGGAGTTGCCTTATTAGCAAGGAGTTGATCCAAGTGTAGCAGTGCCAGCTGGGGCTTTCAGTTGTTCCTAATTCCAAGTTATAATTTACATATTTCTATATTTCTTTACTGTGTTTTTATTTGCCTGTAGCTCCACGCATGATCGGCTAAATAGACTTTATAATGATGAGAAAATGCATATAAAGGCAAGACTCATAAAGCTGCATAGAGCATACAAGTAGAGTACAAGTACAAGACTGATTACAGTAAGATCGTGTCCCAATGACTCTATATCTATAGGGGAGCCAGACAAGCATTAGGCTGGATGGAAAGACTCAGGCAAGGAAAGAGAGCGTATGAGGGAAAGAACCTAAAGAACCATTGGAGAGCACAGAGGAAATGAGGCAGAGAGAAAAAGGAGAGACGGGCCAAAAGCAGGGGAGGAACCAGTGAAAGAGGAGAAGTAAAGAAAAAGTAGAAGAAAAAGAGGTACGGGCAAAAGGAAAAATAATGGTTATTGCATGAGGGAAACTGAGGAAGGCAATAAAACAAATGCATGCTAGAAGAAAAAGGGGGAAAGGGGGATTGAAGGACAGAGAGAAAGATGAAAAGTTGACAGGGCGCTCAGCCTGTTGTATCTGGCTCCAGTAGAAAGCATGCGGAGAAGTCTTGTCTACTGAGGCTGATGGGAAGGAGAATATGAGAAACACATTTTCCAGCAGACCCCCACCCAGCTCAAATAACAACTTTTTCTAACCCTGTGCCTTTGTACAGGAACATTTGATTTTGCATGTGTGCGCATGTGTATGCATAAATGCCAGGCTTGGCGAAGCCTAGAGGTCATCGTTTATACAACAGGTCAGGTTTCATGGGCTAATCTCTCTGGTTTCACAGTCACCTTGGCACCAAGGCTGGGGTACGGTTTTGTTGACTAGTGTGCTGCCGAGAGCCATTAGGGGAGCTTTTGGGTCCAGCGCTGGGCACCCGAGGAACAGGTGGAGCATGGCTACGGATCCCAGGCTTACCACTGGCTGCAGTTTTAGGGAGGCTTGGCAAGAGAAGCAGAAGCAGAAGACGAGAGAAGCTTAAGTGATAGGTTGTACAGATTTGTTTCAATGAATCCATCTATGTATATGTGTACATTTGCACCTGGATGGTTTTATCCAGGAAGAATCCACAGGTGGAGGCAAAGGGGTAGTGCAGGTAGAGGTGGAGATTTCTCCAATGGCAGCGAGCGCCTCCTTCAGGGCAGCATGCTTTTGGAGCACTTCAACTCGGTGCTGTTGCTGCTCTGGTGACTCATCCATCAGAGCTGAGCATTCTCCCAGAGCGTAGAGTTGGGCCAGGAGCTCAGAGCTAATGAACTCCTTAACCTACAGAGAGGGATTATAAACCACTGTGAGATGTTAAAATGTAACTTTGTAAAGTGATATTTTATTCTGATTCAGAAAAACAAATCTAGATTCTTAAGGGGTGGCAAAAAAAGTTTTTTTCCCCCCTGAAAGTTTCTTTTTTCTGTTGGTCAGGATATGGATCAAGTGGAATTTCAAATTGTGAATGGAAAAAAACAAAAAATGTAGAGAAAAAAGTGAAAAGGATTTGCTGCACCAAAAAAGTAAAAATAACAGTTAAAAGTGTGGTCTGGAGAGCTTACACTGTTGATCATGACGTGCATCATGGTCTTTGGCATTAAATCCCTGACTGTCTTATAGATGATGCCCATGTAGGAATCAACCAGGTTACTAATGGTCTCCACTTGACGTTCCAGCTGGGGGTCTGAGAAGTTTTCAGGAGGTCCATTCCCCTGCTCATCCACCTTAGTAAAAAACACACAAGTTGGGACATATACATACATCTTAACACTATACAGACAACCCATTTAAGCAGTAATCTACAGTGTAGGTTGCCATGCTACAGGGACTGCTGATATACCACAGCTAGTAATTTAATACAAATACAGATGTGTAAAGAGACAAAGCTTTCTTTTATATTTAGTGGCCACATCTATTCCATGTTAGTGACAAGAAGAAACACATTTGATAGGATAAGAACAAGGAGAGTCAAACACAAGGAACAAAAAAGAAGGAGTCAAGGAGGAATGGGCAGAAGAAAAAAAAGGGGGAGTGTGTGAGGGACGAGGAACTGCTGATTAGAAACAGACCAGAACACACACACACACACACACATATTGTAGTGACATCATGGACCAAGAATGCTGTACTAAAGAGCCAACGACAGAGCGGGATGGAAGGGGTGGGGGACTTGCTTTTTCTCTTTGGCAGGGGGAGAGAAAGGGGAACATGGAGAGAGAGGGGTAAGGGGTTACAGACAGGGTTTAAGGTTAGCAAAGCCAATGAGTGCATATAACTCAAAGGTAAGGTGCAGACAGGTGCAGTTCCCCAAAGCTAAGGTCAGGACTGGGTTTAATTACGTTGAATTAGGGGTCAAAGTACTAACAGCAACTTTCTCAGGGTAGACTCCGGCCCGTAGCAGAGACGCCTTCCAGCTGTCCAGCTCCTCCTGAGAGTTACAGGCCAACTCCAGGCATTTGTAGTCCTTATACACATTCCTGCAATTCATTACAATCCTGTCAGAAATGTCCAAAAAATATACAGCAATAACACTTTTAACTCAAGGGAGCTTTCTGCAATACGGAGTAATATACACAAAACCTTATATACGTTGTAGGGGAGACTGGCACAGTGCTTACCTTACGGTTAAGAAAATATACAGTTCGTACCAAACACATTTTACGATGTGTTTCATGTGAACTCTGATGAACGTATACAAGAACTATTATCCATAACAGGAACTTTAACCTTTTCTTGTGAACTCTGTGTAGGTGATTAAGCCAAACATTCAGTTATAGTTGCGAACTTATCAGCTAGTGTGTAGAGTGTTTAAAAGAGAACATCAAGGCCACTTGGACGATTTCACTGTTTGTGTTTGAAATTCTTAATATACAAATATTATTTACTAAGCCTCTGACCCAATCTGTACACAAGTGAAATGTTACTGGCACAAGGATGCCTTCATGCGCTAACCCACAGACTGTATATATATCTTTATATACAGTCTTTGTGTGAAACAAACAAACAAAGTAGCATTTTGTTTGTACAGAAAAAATAATTTCTTCTGTTTCCATAACAAACGTTTAACAGTTTTATTGTTTGCTGCTTTGTCTGCTTTGTAAAGCAATGTGCAGTGTGTCCTGCAAATATTTCTCGTTCATGCTGATAAATTTGTTTGTAAAATCAGCCAATGGAATCTTTTTAAATTTACTTTGTTTAAATGGAGCACTGGCTGACCTGTGTCCCATTACTGCATCCAATAAAGTGATACACGGGTAACAGAAGCTATCAGGCTCTATGTAAACTGATGTGTGTCAGGTCTATGTTACACTTTCAAGTAGGCAACCCTCCCCGTGTAACATGTTGGACACTTGCAGATCTAAAGGGCATAAAGACAGACGCAGACACTTTCAACTAGATTAAAACATACAAAGACACATACACAGCACCGATATACACACATATAACACATAC